GCGGGGTCATCTGGCAGTCTCCGGCCACCTAAATTAGGACCTGGAGACTGCCAGATGACCCTGCTCGGAGCGCCGCCCACCGGAGCTGCAGTGACGCGACGCTCGGCGAGGTAAGTAAGAAAAAAAAAATCATAGCGCAAGGCTTCGGGGCATTTTGACAAGTACAAGTACTTGTCAAAATGCCCTGTATCGGGCCCGATTCCGATGCTAGCATCGGTATTGGGACATCCCTAATTATTTGTAAATGTAACTCGGTATTGAGGAAGCTAATCCAGTACAGCTGCCAAAGTTGGCACTGGGGATGTGCGTGGGCTTGGTTGAGCCCATGCAAAACTCTGTGACACGCCCCTTCCTGGCTCAGTTATTGACTGCCCTGTAGCTACACATTACCAAGGGGAATGCCCCAGCCAAATGGACCAGAAGGGGGATGTGTCTATCACAGTTTTGCTCGGCTTTGGACGAATTTGATTTGCACCAAGCCCATGTGCATCCGTAGTTGGCACCAATAAGTATCAGCTTTGGAGAAGGAAAAGATAAACCTTAGAAATAAAAGGGCGTGAAGCGAGAGGAATAAAAGCAAGAAGAAAGGAGGCATGGGGAGGGAGGGGAAGGTTAAATCATTTTATTTTTAGTTTAATATATTTTGATTTATATTTGAAGGTAATAGAAAAACAATATTACAAACTGAGAATGGCAAAAATGGTCAAGTACAAATATAGGGTTACCAGTCTGATTGCTGACAATACAGGCAATACCATATCTATAACAGTTGTCAAAGATTATGTAAATTACAATTCCAGCCCTAAGAGATTTTTCTATAACATCATATAGGGACCCATTTGGTTATATCTTTTGAGTACAAACAAATCCTTATCCCATTCTAAGCCCTGATGAAGTGAGAATGCTGCTGCCTCCGAGAAACGTTGGCTGTTTTTTTGTTGGATCAAATTGTGAACAATTAAATGCACTTTGTCCTCCTTCACCTTTCGGTTTGATGCCTTTTATTTCTAAACACCGATTATGTGAAATCACAGATGTAAGCACCTATTGCGGAAGGCTGTTCAATACAGGTGCTATGATTGGCACTTTGGGTTCTTGTAAAAGAAAAAGAATAGATAGAAAAAAGGTAGGGTAAGATTGGGAATGGGTAAAAGGTTATGATAAATTGCTGGGGTTCTCATACACAGGGCCGGATTTCCCAGAAGGCCAACCAAGGCCCGGCCTTGGGGCAGCAGGGAGTAGAGGGGCAGCAGGGGTGTGGAATTCCTATCTCCCGATGCACGGGACATGCAGTTCCAGGCGCCGGACGGGTAGTTATTTTCTACATTTTAGCCCTGCTAAATGCTAAATGTACAGCAGGGAAGCCACTGCTTGTTTTGTACAAGTGATTTTGGCGATGTCACTGAGATCACTTGTATGCAGCCTGCAGGTCCGCCATTGTCCATGGGGGGGGGCACATTGAGGAACCTGGCCTTGGGGCAGCAGAATGAGTAAATCCGGCCCTGCACATACATATGGTTGATCCAACCCTACTGATAGTAAAAGACCGCAGGTCTACCAGACGACAATCCAAGGGTGGTAGTAACAAATTTCATATCTGGGGCTCCCAGACTTTTCAAAATGTGGGCATGGTGTCTAATAGTCTCATTGTCAAGACTATACATTAGGCCAAAAAAAAAAAAGGGACAACTGATGAGAAAGAGGGGCAGAGGTTTGGTTGAGTGAGCAGGCAAAACACATTTCTTATGGGATTCATATTCAACTGTAGGTCATAAGAGAGTGGCACAATCATAAAACAAAACATGGCAACAAATAAAAAAATAAAATGACTCCTGTTCAAAATTCTGCATACTCTTAGTTCTTAATATTGTGTATTGCCCCCTTTAGCATCAATGACAGCGTGCAGTCTTTTGTAATAGTTCTCTATGAGGCCCCCAAATTCTTGCAGGTGGCATGGCTGCCCATTCGTCTTGGCTCTAGGTCATGCAAAGTCTTTGGTCGTCTTGCACGAGCCACACGTTTCAGATCTCCCCGGAGTGGCTCGATATTAAGGTCAGGAGACTGTGATGGCCACTCGAGAACCTTCACTTTTTTCTGCTGTAACTACTGGAGGGTCAACTTGGCCCTGTTCACACCAAGCGCGGAGCAGAGCAGTTACAGACCGGAGCAAAACTGCGTCCAATGTATTCCAATGGTATTTTTAGCTCCAGTTCACATCGCAGCGTTCAGTTCCAGAGCAGGTAAAAAAACTGCACCAGGCCCTATTTTACCTGCACTGGAACGCATGCAAAAACGCCTGGAACGCACTGAAATAATTTTTATTTTTTTACCAAAAACGGCCCGGAACGATGGATATAGCTGTACCACACTATACAGCCTTAGTTAGCAATGGCATGATAAATGTTCATTTCATGTTCTTCAAAATCAAGATTTTGTATTGCTTTAGAAAAAATTTGACCTGTCCCTTTTAAGAAAAAGTATCGGTAATTGGTATCAGCGAGTACTTGAAAAAAAAGTATCGGTACTCGTACTCTGTCTTAAAAAAGTGGTATCGGAGCATGCCTACTCTCTGGCATCCTCACATCTAATGCAGGTCATTGGACCCGCATAGGACATGAAGACATCAGTCAGCGGTCCATAGATCCCTGTGGTGAAGGCAGAGGAGGCTGTGGAGACTGGCCTTGCAGCCTGTAGGGAGCTGGTGGGACAGAGGATCAGGAAAGTAAACCAGCTTTAATAGCATCCCCTAGACAAAAAAAGCAGTTAACCCTTGGGGTATGGGGGTAGCCCCCATGCAGGGGTGTTTTGCTTTTTTTGTTTGCCCGGAGTTCTTCTTTAAATTGTTTTTAAATATATATCTAGACATCAAAACCAAAAAGAGGGGCAACTGAAGAGAAAAGAAGGACAGATGGATTTGGATCCAGAAGAGGGACACTCCCTCCAAATCAGTGACAGCTGGGAGTTTATCCTGCTGGTATAGAGCATCTCAGGTTGCCGATTGCTCCCGGTGTGGAAGAAACCCCTGAGTAGGTGAGTCAGAGGAACTGATGTCATTGTGTCACGGGGTATGCAGACTGAATGGAGAGGAAAAGAGGTGGTCTCTGGGAAGAAGAGGAGGAGGAGGGAGCATGGTGATACAGCAAGACAATACCAGCCAGACCTTAACCATAACAAACCAGATGGACCTGCAAGACGAGACAGCGCAGCTTCCCGCACGCTGGTGACAGCGAATGGAATGTGCGCAGCATCAGCACCACCATCTCCTCTCCAGGCCGGAAGAGGCCCCCGCTTCCATGTGCAGTAAGGCACCCCGCAGGAATTAACCCCCTCCTGGCTGCTCCGCAGCAGCTTCCTCGGATATGTCCCGCTGTCAGTTGCATGCTCGGAAGTTGGTGTGACCCGTCCTGTCGGCTCTCGGACAGCGCTCTCCACAACTTGTCACCACAGTGGCCTCCCCCTTGTTTGTCCGAAGGCAGGCTGCCGTCCTCCCGGGGCGCTGCGTGTAGAGGGAACCACGCCACCTCGCCCCGCCCACTGCACCTGGCCATGGACTCGGTGTTCGGTGATGACGTCAGCATCATTGCGCAGGAGACCCTGGTGCAAGAGGAAGAAGAAGAGGAGGAAGAAGAGGAAGACTGGGTGGACAGCCCCAACACTGACCAGTCAGGGGATATGTGCTCGGCTTCCCATTTTGCCTTGATAACTGCGTACGGCGACATCAAAGAGCGTCTAAGTTCCCTGGAGAGAGAGAACGCAACGTTGCGGCGCAGACTCAAGGTGTATGAGATCAAGGTGAGTGCTGTTGATGGGGGGGGGGATAAAATTAAGGCGTAGACGTATGACGCCATACCTAAGACTTCTTCACATGGGAACAAATACAGGCGTATGGGCGCACCGCGTAAAAATACTCCAGTGTTTGTGGCGCCTGGGAGCCCTAGCTTGTGCGTTTTTGTATCGATAGGATTGTGTGGACAGAATACACTGTACGCGTTTCAACTTAAGTTCTGACGCTTGCACGTGTATGGGTGTGAGGTCAGCAGCACAAAACTTCTGCGTTCAGGACCTTACGCTAGGTTCACACTCTACTGTTAATGTGCGTTATGGTAAAGCACGTGCATTAACATTGTGCAGCTTATTCAAATTAAATGGCAGGCAACTCACCTTAACGGGGCCAGAAATTGGACCCACAGCAAACTTTATAGGGTTACCCTGAAGTTCAGTGCACCTGCATTGGAATGCCATTCAGAATGATTGGCACCATTGCCAGTAGCGTGTGCTGCCGTGTGTTGCAGTAATTATTATATAGGATTTATATAGCGCCAACAGTTTGCGCAGCGCTTTACAATATGATGTGTGGGTTCCTACAATGCAATAATGTGAACGGGGGCCATACGCCCATGTGTGTGTCCGTGTAAACACTGCTAGCCGTTTACACATGTACAGCATATTCTGAACATACAGTTCTACGGACGCAAGAACGTAGCGGCGGGGGCTCATTTACACTGTATGTCTATATCTGTATTTGCGGCCGTGTGAATGACCCCTGACTGTACCATCACTTTTATATCTACCAGCAAAGTATGTAGTGCAAAGCCCTGCCAGGCTGGGTACAGATTGATAGGTCCTCCTATTACAAAGCTTTGGTAGGTCTAATGTTGATTGCACAGAGATTGTGTGTTCACATTGTAACGTGTGTGGTGAGCCTTAGAAGAATCAATCTTGTATTCATAGAAACAAATGCTGGGGGACGTGTCATTTCACCGATGTAAGCTCAGGATAGGTAAGACGTGAAGGACCAGTTCCATAAATTGCAAACCGAAGCACAGGACTTGCATGGTAAAGAATTCTGTTTATACAGCAGTTACATTACTGCTCTGAATAGGATGAGACCCTTGTCATTGAGTTCAAACACAATAGCAGATAGTGGCCCCTAAAGAATATCTACAAATAAATAGAATAAACAGATTATCTATTATATGTGAGATGCTCTGCAAGGCTAAAACGTTCAGTTACCTAACTATAGTAATAATACACTATATTGTCAAAAGTATTGGGTCACCTGCCTTTACACGCACATGAACTTTAATTGCATCCCAAGAAGGCCAGGCTCGGAGTCTCCGCTCTAATTCATACCAAAGGTGTTCTATCGGGTTGAGTTCAGGACTCTGTGCAGGCCAGTCAAGTTCCCCTGCCCCAAACTCACTTAGCCATGTCTTTATGGACCTTGCTTTGTGCACTGGTGCGCAGTCATGTTGGAACAGGAAGGGGCCATCCCCAAACTGTTCCCACAGATTTGGGAGCATGAAATTGTCTAAAATGTGTTGGTATGCTGATGCCTTAAGAGTTACCTTCACTGGAACTAATGGGCCAAGCCCCACACCATAATCCCCCCTCCACCAAACTTTACCCTTGGCGCCATGCAGTCAGGCAAGTACCATTCTCCTGGCAACCGCCAAACCCAGACATGTCAATCGGATTGCCAGACAGAGAAGCGTGATTCGTCATTCCAGAGAACACGTCTCCACTTCTCTAGAGTCCAGCGGTGGCGTGATTTACACCACTGCATGTAGCTGCTCGGCCATGGAAACCCATTCCATGAAGCTCTCTACGCACTGTTGTGTCAATCTGAAGGCCACACCAAGTTTGCACAGGTGGCAACCTATCACGGTACCACACTTGAATTCACTGAGCTCCTGAGAGCGACCCATTCTTTCACAAATGTTTGTAGAAGCAGTCTGCATGCCTAGGTGCTTGATTGTATACACCTGTGGCCATGGAGGTGATTGTATTAAAATACCACTACAATAGACATAGAACAAAACTCATTAGTTCATATATATAAAAAAACAATGCAAAAAAAGAGTTTACAATCCAGATGACTCCAATCACTATTTATAAAATATTTGCAGATCCATTCACCCTGTGAATCACTGAGAATGTTTATTCTGTGCCAGTACAGGTGAAAATTCTTTTGTATATTTTCTTTTCAGGTTGAATGTAATGTAAAACTGCATTATGGACACTAGATGGAGCTGAGGAGCACAGGAAAGAAATACTTGTTTCCTATGATTCTCATCACCATCTAGTGGCCATTATGCAGTATTACATGCAACCTGAAAAGAAAATATACAAAGAACATTCATTTATGCCTCGATTCAAACATAACAAACCTTATCAGTGATTCATAGGGTGAATGGCTTTGCAAATTGTTTAAAAATAGACTCCCATGCAGTGGCGTCACGCGGGGGGTGCGGCCCGTACCCGGGTAAGACCATTGGAGCAATGACACAAAAATGACTGACAGTCATTTTGGTGTCACCCCCCTCTGAAAAGTCGGGCGCTCGGTCAAGGACCGAACGCCTGACCGTATCAGGAGAGAGAGGAGGGGACCCGGCGGCATACCTTAGCCCGCCGGGTGACTCCCCTCCTCTCTCTGCCGGCGTCCATCACCAAGATGGCCGCCGGCAGGTATCAGGAGATCACTGCGCGTACGCGATGACGTCATCGTGCACACGCGTGGTGACGTCACGCGCATACACGGTGACGTCTCGGCGGGGTGACACCAGGTAACCGCTCCGGGTGTCACCCAGCCTCG